TTTCTTGGCTCAAGTAAGAAGGATTGCGCTGAGCCATCGGATCTGGGTACCGTCGGTTGTTATCCCAGATTCCCTTGCAAGGTTATCAGCCCTAGCATTGCTTCATATCTGGACGACAATTTGTGCTCTGACAAGCTTTGGCGTCTCGTTGGTTAGAGGGGAGGTCCCCGTGGAGCCAAACAGGAAACAAAGTTCATTGCAGAGGGGTTCAGACAGTCTTTTTACAGGATAGCCACCCTTTTTCCCGAGAGCGCCTGCGAAGGGTTCTTCGGAACTTCGTAAAAAAGCAGCCGTTATATACATCTTCACACCCTCACATCTGCTGATCTACATCTTCACACCTTCACATTTGCTGATCTACATCTTCACACCTTCACATCTGCTGATCTACATCTTCACACCTTCACACCTGCTGATCTACATCTTCACACTCTCACATCTGCTGATCTACATCTTCACACCCTCACATCTGCTGATCTACATCTTCACACCTTCACATCTGCTGATCTACATCTTCACACCCTCACACCTGCTGATCTACATCTTCACACCTTCACATCTGCTGATCTACATCTTCACACCCTCACATCTGCAGATCTACATCTTCACACCTTCACACCTGCAGATCTACATCTTCACACCTTCACATCTTCTCTCGCTCTTCTTTCTATCTCTCTCTTAAGGCGGGGGCGGTGCCGCCGGAGCGCCACGAAACGCAACCTTTTCGCACGAAATGGAGACGTTGGACGTCAAAAACTGAGGTAAAATTGCGATTTTAGTTAGTCCATCGCAACCCTTTCGCACGAAACCCTTAGCTTCCGAGAAGACAACTTTTTTTCTTTAAAAAACAGAAGCCTCCCAGAGAGTCTGCCAGACAAGTTTTTAGGCTTCTGGGAAAACCCTTAAAAATAGCAAGTTCAGAAGACAAAAAATTGATCTTCTAGCTTTTTTCCCAGAAGACAAAATTTTAGGCTTCTAGGTTCCACTATTTTGGTACAAAATCATTTGAACATATCATTGAAAACATGATATATTTAGAAGTTTGGGCTATGCCAGACTTCCCAGCACATGTTTTTCCTTGCATCATGTCGCCATGCACAACTAGTCTGTAGCCTTTCACAGGCTATATAGTAGCCTTCACAGGCTCCTGGAACAGCTGGATGGCTGCTGCACATGTAAGAATGGTGTGTCAGCCATCCATCTCAGCAAAAGTTTTTCTGCAGCCATTCCTGGCTCAAATTTGCCACCCCTTCTGAAGGAGAGCTTCTGCATAGATCCTGCAAATGTTTCATCTCGGTAGTTCCAAGAATCCTTTGGGTTGTGCCCCAAGGACACTAGATCCAGTATGTGGCTGGTCAAATGGAATTTGGGTTTGGATCGCCATAGCTTCACTTCAGATTCATCTGCAGAAGTAGCTTCAGCCTCCAAAGCCATATACTGGGTCACAATTTTTCTTCCAGCCTTCTCAAGCTCTAGTAGGTTGCCTTCCTCCAGGCACTTGTACATTTTGCTCCAATACTTTACCACTTTGTACACAGCCTTTTGATGCACACTGCCTTCATGCAAGCCTTTTGCCTTACACAGGCACTCCAGCAAAGGGCAAAAATGCCTGACCTCATGGGCCTTGCCATCCAACTCTGGCACCTTTTTGGGCTTGACTATGTCCTTCAAAGTTAATTTCTTCAGCCTCCAGTCCTGTGGCCAATGCTGCTCCTCAAAAAGAATTTGGATGTGCTCCCACAGCTGGGACACCCTTTCATCCACATGGGCTCCAGGATACAAGGGAAGCAGCTCCTTCAGAATTTGCCCAGCTGCCAAAGCACCTGTGCCTTCATCAAGGACATGCATCCAATCAGGCATCATAGTGTCATTGCTGACACTTGGCAAAATGAATAATGGATTCGCTTCCTTTTCTCTGTCAGCCAAAAAGTGAAGGTATTCAGCCTTGTCCAGGCTCTGCTCTTGCCTCTCCCAGGCAGGGCATGTGGTCATCTCCCTCCAATTTTCCGGCTTGGCCTTGCAAAGCCAGCACATGCCTTTCTTTTCATTCCACTGTGGGGCATGGAAATATTTGCAATTCCAATCCCAATCAGAGCGGGTTTGGACAAGAGCTGCTTTTCCAGGCATGGCATTGCCAGCACAGATTTGGCGGTTTTTATCAGGTTTCATCCATTTGGAGCCATCATGCCTGGCCCTGGGGAATTTGCCTTCAGCCAGGCACTGAAAACTCCACAACATGACTTGGCTAATTTTTTTCTATTGTTTGCCATCCTATCATTCTGGCATCTAAAGCACAAATGGGTATTCTCAGCTGGTTGAATCTCTTTGATCCAATTAAATTCATTGTCCAAAAATCCAAAGTGCTTTGATTCATTCTGCCTTGCACAGGCACTCCATCACCATGCAAACCCAAAGGAAACATATTTCCAATGGGTTCCCCATTGCTTTCACAAGCTTTGGCCAACCTGCTGGCCAAAAAATTGCCTTCTTCAGGTATGCCTTCCTGCCAGGCACTGCTTTGAAGGAAATAATCTGGGAGCCACTCATGAGGCAGCAAGAATGGCATCCACTTTTCCTCCATATCATGTGCTTTTTTCTTGGGATTCTTCATAGGAATCTTTGCCCAATACAAATCCTTCCAAGTATGATTCTTTCGCAAGAATCTGTCCAGGCTTCTTGCAGCATTCTTGTCCCTGCAGCCTTCTTCAGGGTTTGCCTCTCCAAGGTCAGGAGCCTTACCAGGCTCAAATTTCCGCTTTTTGGGAATTGGATTTGAAAATTCCAAGCCAGCTTCATCTGCAGCTTGAAGCAACTCAGAGACATCTGAAGCTGGCAATCTGTTTTCCTTATATAATTTTGTCAATCTGTTTCCCAATTTCTTTCCTGCTTTCCTCCTTGTCTCTTTGGAATCTTTTTGCAATTGAACCCACAGCCTTTCTGCAGACTCTAGCTGCTTTTTGGGCGCCCCTACCACATGGCCCCACAGCAAGAACGAAACAACACACAGAGCCAACATGTTGCACTTGAGCTGAAAGCAAAGAGGGATACACATGTTCAGTTCACTGCCTACCCTTTGACCACCCAAAGCCCAAGGACACTTTTTTGCTATTAGCATATATCCGCTGCTCCACATGCCTTCTTCAGGCACTGCACCTGCTCTTTAGCAGGGGCTTGAGGCCAGGGCCTTTTCCAGGCTAGCATCTTGCAATCATCCCAATCCATGATTCTTGGCCCAAAGCTTGTGTGGCCCTACAGCCTTCTGCAGGCCCTTGCAATCATCATCACATGCCTTTTTCAGGCTCTTCAGCTTTTCAACGATTTTTTTGCCATCAGGTGCCGCCTCTTCCAAGCTGTCCTTGAAGCTGCCAAGCTTCTTTTGCCAGTCAGCCTTGGTTTTGGTGTAGTCACCAATTAACTTTTCCAACTCCTTGCAGCTTTGCTTGAGCTGGGAATTTTGGGGTGCTGCCTTCATGTTTCCATTTCCATCAGCAGGCAGACCTTGTCCAAGGAGGTGGAAGCAAAGCCACAGCCTTTTTCAGGCTCTTGTATGCCTCTTTGTATTCCTCAGTCAAGGTTGGTGCTTCTGCTGCCTCCAACGCCTTCTGCTCCTCTGGCTTTTTTTTTGCCACCAATGGTGACCTGCCTTGTTTCAGGCACTGCCATTAAGGCTTGCTCAGCCCTTTGGAAGTCTTCCTGTGCCACATCACTGACTTCCCGTTTAGCCTTGGTCAGGCTCTCTTTTGTTTTGCTGAACTCAGCCATCATCTCCTTGCAGACTTTGTACTGCTTCATGTGGCGTGGCCTTTCTTCCAGTCCCTGGACAGCCAGACCAGCCAGCACTGCGAAGTCAGGGGCTGCTGCAGTTTGGCAATCTGGTACTTTGTGAGCCATCCTCTGGCTACTGTCTCCTTCTCCTGTAGCCTTTCCAGGCTCTCCTTGTGGATGGCTTTCTTGGACATAGAAGGAATACATTGTACTAAAATTACCTCTTTGCCCTCTGTGTCCCAGCCTCCTTTGCCTTGTCCCAGACTTCTCAGGCGGTTGTCGCCTTGCTTGGCCAGCTTGGTGCATTGTGCATGCACATCTTTCCAAGCCTCCTTGCCAGGAGCTATGAGCTCTTCTGCAGGCTTGGACATGGTCTTGGCTGCTGCCGCTTTTGCCTTGGGAACAGGCACACTGCCTTCCTCAGGGACTGGGCTTGCCTCTGCCAGAGAAGCTGCAGCTCCTGCTGCACCATTGTCTTCCTCAGGCATGGTGCCTTGCTCAGGCATGGCCTCTTCTCTTTCTGTGCCTTCTGCAGGCACTGAGCATTGCTTTCTCTTGGAAGGAGTTGAGTCAGGTTCCAACTTCACATTTGCTGCTGGTCTTTTCCTAGGCCCATGTGGCATTTCGAAGTGGGGCTTCTTAAGCAAAAAGTCAGCTGCTTGAGCAAAGAAAATTTCTGCAGAGGTGCAACATTTGAATCCAAAAAGTTCACCAAAAGTTCCTCCTTTTTTTGGGGGGGAAAAAGTGACACAGGAACTTTTTTTGAACTTTTGAACTTTTTTGAACTTTTTTCTAAATATATAATTAAATTAAAAGTGAAGAAGTTCAAAAGTTCATAAGAAGTTCCTGTTTTACTTTTTTCCCTCCAAAAAGAAATGTTTTTTTTGGGAACTTTCAGACTTTTTCATAAAACTCTTTGGTTTTCCCTGCCTTCTTCAGGCACTGGCATGTCAAAAATGTGGAAAACCTGCCTTATTCAGGCACTGGCATGCACCCTTCTTATCCCTCTAGGGCAACCTTATTATTTGGTGGATATTTTTCCTACCACCACAATGTTTAAAGTTGCCTAAAGTCTTTTGGGTAGTTCCAACCATCCCCCAAACCCCAGAAGTCCCAGCATTTTTCAAAAACCGCAAGGCTGTCTCTTCCAGCCTGTTTGGATGCCTTTCTCAGGCACAAAGCCTTTTGCAGGCTATCTGGTCCAGCCTCCTTGTGAGGCTAGACCAGTGCCTTACTCAGGCAGAAGCTGTAGCTGCAGCAGCAGGTGGAGGATTTGGGCCTTTTGGACCCTGTGGATCATCTGGATCCTTTTTCTCTGGTGGAGCCTCCTTTTTAGCCCTGCTTCTGCTTCTGCTTTTGCTTTTCTTTTTTTTCTTTTTGCCTTCTTTGGAGGTGTCACCCCCCCAGTCAGGCACTGTGTCATCAGCTTCCTCCTCTTCAGAACAATCATCTGCTCCATCATCAGCTGCCAATGTACCAGATTCCTTTGCTTCAGGAGGTGTGCCTTTTGCAGGCACTGATTGGCTCCTGTGCTTCCCGACATATGCCTTCCTGGCAGGCACTGTGTCATCACCATCCCCATCAGCTTTATCCTGGCTTGCATTTGCAGCATCTTTGGCCTTCCTCAGGCTTTCCAATTTTTTGGCCTCATCTTGCTGGAGCTTGATAAACTTTTCAGTAATCTCATCAAGTTCCTCTTGGCTTTGGGCAGAAGCCATCTCCCTGGCTCTTTGGTGCAGCAAAAACATCTGCTGCTTTGCTGCCTTATTTAGCACATGAGCCTGTGGCTTCAAGTGCTCAGGCACGGGCTTCCCTTCCCTCTCCAGCTGCCTTTTCTTTTCCCTTCTCTCTTGGGAGCCTCTTCCCCTGAAATAGTACCTGTCAGGGTTGGGGGTGCACCATTTCCAGTAGCCTTCCTGTCCAGGCTCTTGCCAGCCCCAAGGTGTCTGGTGGCCTTCTCCAGGCCCACTGTGGCCTTGTGCAGGCCCTGCTGCAGGTCCAGCTGATCCACTTGAGGAACCGGTCTCTCCACACAGTTGTGGTCCCTCTGCCATCTGAGCTGACATATTGGTCCCCATCTCTGCCAATTTTGTTGCCCTTCCAGGCACTGGCTGGTAATTCCCAGGGCAGGTGTTTCTTTCCTCACCTGCCATCGGGTGGTCTGGCAAAGGCCTGAGAGCATAGATGTCTAAGTTCTCAGGCTGGGCAACCCAGTGTAGCCTTGGTTCAGGCTTTCACTTCCCCAACCATTTGAGACATCCCAATCACATAGGTAGCCATTTCTGGCTCTGTTTGGAAAAGGTTTTCCACTGCATCCTCATATTCAGAAGGAAGCTCTTCCCAAAAGCCTGATGGCCATACAAACCAGATTTTTGTCCACCTGCTTCCCTGAGCCTCCACCAGGCAAAGATTTTAATGCCTTCTGCAGGCACAGCCATGGACAAAGCCAAAGCAGCCATTGCCAACATATTGCCTTGTGCAGGCTACCAGCAGCACCAGCAGCAGAACCATGGCCACCATGAGGACAGCTCCTACAGGTTCTGCTATGTTCCCTGGAAGTAGACTGTGACAGGTCCGAGTTGTGTGTTATCAATTTTGTATCTTGTGTTGTGTGTTTCTTTGGTCCTTATGTGTGTGTCTTTGTTATGTGTGTGTGTTTTACCTGTGGACATGTTTTTCAAGCCAAGCTAGCTGCAGTTTGGCATACAATTCTCAGGTCAACAGAGCCCTGCCTTCTTCAGGCACTAGCACCCTGGTTCAAAAAAAAATGTGGGCAACCCTGTCGAATATCTATCTGAACCCATTAAAGCCACAAAAGGTACTTGTTATTTAGAAAATTTGGTGGCCACCCTGCCTTCTTCAGGCACTTGCTTTGCACCTAACCCCAAAAAGTACAAGCCCCAAGTCATTTTGGTGGTTGCCCTGCCACAGACAACCCAGTTCTTTTTCATCTTCTGCATGTATTGACATGCACCTTGGCATGCCAAAGCCTTCTGCAGGCTTGCCATATGGAGCCTTCTTCAGGCTGGAAGCCTTCTTCAGGCCAAGCCCCTCTGAGCAAGGAGTTCTTGAGCTCCACCAGCTGGGCCTTTGCCAGGCCAGACTTGGCAGCTTCTGCCATCAGTTTCTCAACAGCTGCATCTTGCTGAGGGCCTTTTGCCAGGCCAATATTCACCAAGCAGTAAGCTTTGCTTGTTTCATCATCCCTGGCTTGGATGTATGCTTTTTCTGTAGCTTTGGTGGCTTTGATCCAGCCAAAGCTGGCAGACTCTACCCATGTCTGCTTGGGAGGCTGCTTTGGAGCCATTGCTGGCTTTTTCTGTGCTGCGCCACCAATGGCTGCAGCAGGCCTTTTGCAGGCTGGCTTCTTCAGTGCATTGGCAGAAATGCAGCCAGAGCTGGTAGATGACACTGTAACCGCACTGCCATCATTGCTGTCCATGCTAGGTGTGGATGGGCTTGCAAACACCATTTTGAATTAGCCCTTTGCAGGCTTGCTTGCAGCTGAAGGCTCTTTGCCTTCTTCAGGCACTTCTGCAGGCTCTTTGCCTTCTTCAGGCACTTCTGCAGGCTCCTTGCCTTCTTCAGGCACAGCTTCTGCAGGCTTGCTTGCCTTTGCAGGCTCGGCTAAAGCTTCCTTCTCAGGTGTCTTTTCCTTTAGCCTTCTGGCAGGCTTGGAGCCTTTCACAGGCTGCTTCTTTTCTTCCTCCACTTCAGCACCCAATGCCTTCAAGACATGCAACACAGCCAGGTCGGTTTTCTCAACACTTTTGAGATTTTTCTTTTTTCTTTGCAGCCATTGTTTATAAAGTTGCAGCCTGGACAAGATGGTATCTTTGTCAGTCACAGACAGCTTTGGGTTTGCTATCTCCAGAGCCTTCTTTGCTTCAGGCTTTTTTAACCCTTGCTGGAGCCACATTGCCAAGAAGCCAGGCGAGTTTTGGCAAGCCTTTTCAGGCTCTTCTGGAAAATCCTTCAAACCACAAGTGGGTAAAAACCCTTTGGTCATGGCACCTACCCTTTCAACTTTGCATTTTTCAGGCACTTTGGCATCTTTCAAAGGTAGGGTCGACATGTCCAAGCTTGAGCCATTCAAAGGGTGACATGTTTAGACTTAAGCCATTCAAAGGAAATGTGTGTATATATTTCTAGATAGATATACCTTCTACAAAGTCATATATCAGCAACATTTCCAGAAGACAAGATTTAAAGCTTCTGCCTTTTTTCCCAGAAGATTAAATTTAAGGCTTCTGAAGTCGTGAAAGTGCACAAACACCAGAAGACAAGTTTTGAACCAGAAGCTTCAAAACCTTTCTGGCAGACAATTCTAAGAAGAAAGGATTTCAGGCTGCCATCCCCTAAAACCTTTCTGTCAGACAAGTTTTTATACTTCCAAAAATTGTCTTCTGAAACCTCGGAACCTCACTTTCCTTTCTTCCGGACAAGGTTCATTGCTTCTCGGAAGCTAAGGGACGTTGGACGTCCAAAACTGATGTAAAATTGCGATTTAATTTTGAGGTGTCCATCGCAACCCTTTCGCACGAAATGGGCGTTGGACGTCAAAAACAGAGGTAAAACTGCGATTTTACTTGGCCCATCGCAACCCTTTCGCACGAAATGGACGTTGGACGTCAAAAACTGATGTAAAATTGCGATTTTGAGGTGTCCATCGCAACTCTTTCGCACGAAATGGACGTTGCACGTCAAAAACTGAGGTAAAATTGCGATTTTGAGGTGTCACTCGCAACCCTTACGCGCGAAATGGAGGTTCGACGTCAAAAACTGAAGTAAAATTGCGATTTTACTTGCCCCATCGCAACCCCTTCGCACGAAATTGGCGTTGGACGTCAAAAACTGAAGTAAAATTAAGATTTCACGGGTCCGGTCTCTGTGTGTGAAAGTGTTTGTGTGTAAAAGTTTCTGTGTGTAAAAGCCTCTGTGCGTGAAAAGTGTTTGAGTGTAAAAGTCTATCTGTGTAAAAGCTTCTGTGTGTCAAAGCATCTGCGTGTAAAAGCGTCTGTGTGTAAAAGCGTCTGTGTGTAAAAGCGTTTGTGTGTAAAAGTGTCTGCGTGTAACAGTGGCTGTGTGTAAAAGCGTCTGTGTGTAAAAGCGTTTGTGTGTAAAAGTGTCTGCGTGTAACAGTGGCTGTGTGTAAAAGCGTCTGTGTGTAAAAGCGTTTGTGTGTAAAAGTGTCTGCGTGTAACAGTGGCTGTGTGTAAAAGCGTCTGTGTGTAAAAGTGTCTAGTGGCTGTGTGTAAAGGCGTCCGTGTGTAAAAGCTCCTGTGTGTAAAAGCGTCTGTGTTCAAACGCTTCTGTGTGTAAAAGCGTCTGTGTGTAAATGCGTCTGTGTGTAACAGCTTCTGTGCAAAAATGCATCTTTAATGTATATATTAATGTATTGTCTTGTAATATAGTGTCTCAATACTAACAACAGAAGACCCTGCTCTCTCTCTCTCTCTCTGTCTCTCGCTCTCTCGCTCTCTCGCACCCTCTCCCTCTCTCTCTCCTCTCTCTCTCTCTCTCTCTCTCTCTCTCTCTCCGCGTCTCCCTCTCTCTCTCTCTATCTATGTCTCTCTGTGGTTGCAAGTCACGTGTCATATGATGCCCTTTACCAAGCAGCACAGTGCATGTGCATGGGTTGTCACATGCATCCTCTTCTTAATCAATCTTGCTTTTCACCACTTATCCCTCCATAGCTCATATACAATTCACCAACCATTCAAAGACTATGTTTTTTACGACTACCATTATCAGAGCTCTTTGAAAAACGTTTTTTTTCGCTCTCGGGCCAACCGTCGTCTAGTTGTTTTGAGGGAGTAGTAATGGGTACGAAGACCAATCACAAGGTTAATAACATCTACTACAAGGCTTGCAGTTCTTCAGAGGAGGAGGTCGAGTATGTGGGTGGAACAAAGCCTGTACAATTGGTCAATCCGGAAGCAACGGAGGAGCAGCTGTCAGCATCTTCAGGCGCGGCACAGTCACGTTCGTCTTCAGTTGCAGTGCGTCCAGAGGTTAGAAGGTGAGTTGAGCCACCTCTTGAAAGGCCACCGGAGCCTAAGGGTTTACCACCGAGCATCATCATCGTCATCAAGGAAGAATAGAAAACAAACGCCTTCGTCCAAGGGCGTATCTTCCGGACACGGCTCTTTTGATCGACCGAGATTTCACAACCGCGGAGGGCAGGCCTGGGCACGGGGATTTTCCACCTGAAGCAGTTTGGCGGGAGGAGCCGTACAGGGTCTCCGAGGGTTACAAAGCTTGCGAGTCGACAGCAAGCTCTGATTTTCCTGAGTTTGTTCTTTTCGTTGACTGGCGGCAGTGTTTGGACAGATCGGCAACGCAAGGAGCGTGGACAACACGTTTCCCAAAGGCTCTCTGACCTTTCTCAACCAAATTAATGTAGGTTACTGATTAGTACAGGGGGCCCCCCCCCTCCCCCCAAACAACTTTTGGATACGCAATAGTGTGGAAAAAACAATGGATCGGGTACACAATAGTGTAGAATCAAAAAAAATGATAGATTTCAATTGATTTCAATGTACTTTCAATTTGCTTTGAATTGATTTCCAGTTACTCTCAATTGATCTCAATTATACTTTGAATTGATTTGAATTTACTTTCAATTGATTTCAATTTACTTTCAGTTTACTTTCAATTTACTTTCAATTGATTTCAATTGATTTCAATTTTGGTTTCAATTTACTTTCAATTGACTTCAATTTACTTTGAACTGATTTCAATTTACTTTGGATTGATTGCAACACTTTGAATTGATTTCAATTTACTTTGAACTGATTTCAATTTAATTGAACTGATTTCAATTTACTTTCAATTGATTTCAATTTACTTTCAATTGATTTCAATTTACTTTCAGTTTACTTTCAATTCATTTCAATTTATTTCAATTTAATTGCTTTCAATTTCAATTGATTCCAATTGATTTCAATTTACTTTGAATTGGTTTCAATTTACTTTCAATTGACTTCAATTTACTTTGAGTTGATTTCAATTTACTTTGAATTGGTTTCAATTCACTTTGAATTGATTTCAATTTACTTTCAATTGATTTCAATTTACTTTCAATTGATTTCAATTTACTTTCAACTGATTTCAATTTACTTTCAGTTTAATTTCAATTTAATTGCTTTCAATTCATTTCAGTTGATATCAATTTACTTTCTATTGATTTCAATTGATTTCAATTTACTTTCAATTGATTTCAGCTTACTTTCAATTGATATCAGTTTACTTTCTATTGATTTCAATTGATTTCACTTTACGTTCAATTAATTTTCAGTTGATTGCAATTTACTTTCAATTGTTTTCAATTTACGTTCAATTGATTTCAATTTACTTTCAATTTACTTTCAATTTACTTTCAATTGATTTCAATTGATTTCCAATTGATTAAAAATTTACTTTCAATTTACTTTCAATTGCTTTCAATTTACTTTGAATTGATTTCAAGTTATTTTCAAGTGATTTCAATTTACTTTGAACTGATTTCAATTTACTTTCAGTTGATTTTAATTGATTTCAATTTACTTTCAATTTACTTTCAGTTTGCTTTCAATTGATTTCAATTTATTTCAATTGAATTACTTTCAATTGATTTCAATTGCTTATTATGGAAATCCTAGAGGATTCCCACAGAAATCCCATAGAAAGATCATAGAAATAACATGGAATAGCATTGGAACCGCAAAGAAACCCCATAAGAATTCCCATAGACATCCTCTAAACATATACTAGAAACATCATGGAAATACCTTGGAAATCTCACAGGAATCCAATAGAAATCGCACAGGAATCCAATAGATACCATAGAAATCCCATAGGAATCCAATGGAAATCCCATAGGAATCCCATAGGAAGACCATCGACATCCCATAGAAATCCAATAGTAGTCCCAAAGAAATATCATAGAAATACCATGGAAATCCCATAGGAATCCCACAGAAATCCCATAGGAAGATCATAGAAATAACATGGAATAGCATAGGAACCACAAAGAAATCCCATGAGAGTTCCAATAATAATCCCATAGAAATATCATAGAAACATCATGGAAATACCTTGGAACTCCCACAGGAATCCAATAGAAATTCCATAGGAACCCAATAGAAATACCATAGAAATCCCATAGGAATCCAATGGAAATCCCATAAGAACACCATAGAACTCCCATAGCATCCCTTCAGAAATCCCATAGAAATCTTCCAGACATATCATAGAAACATCAGGGAAATCCCATAGGAATCCCATAGAAATCCAATAGTCATACCATAGTAATACCATAAAAGAAAAACTTTAGCAAAGGAAAAGGTAAAGGGAATGTTTGAAAACAATCACCCCAGGAAGCATCTGGTCACAATAGTGTACCCCCCAAACAAACCACACTATTGTGTATCAGGGTTGCTCATGGACTACCCCGTTGAA